CCTCGGCGTTGGGGGAATGCCGTATTCTCACGTTTAAGGCCGAAAATGTTTGAACTCAGTATATGATAATGTAGTTTATTTTGTTTTCTCCAGAGTGTGTGTAATGAGAGGATAACGTTTGTAAAGCAGTGATGGCTTCGAAAATTTCACTCTAATCACATTCGCGTCAAAGCGAACGTCAGTTTCATGAGAAAAGAGTCAAAGTATAGGCTAGCTGGTGGAAGTCAACCATTTCGTCGTTTACCCTGAGACTGGGGTTTTTTTTGAAGAGCAGAAATAACACCTGTCTGTTTTTTCTGTTCTGCTCTTCAAAAAAAACCCCAGTCTCAGGGTAAACGACGAAATGGTCAGTTTCATATCATTCTGGAGAAAGCACCCTCGCGTTGTACCGCTACAGCGTGTGGAATATATTTCTGCAAAACATAATCGGTGCAAATTACAATGCGTGGAATATGTGCGCTTAGGGCACCGTGATTAGAATTGCAGCGATCGCGCTGATTAATAAAAACACTTTTTTTATGTCTAGCTGTAAGGAGTAAGTAATTTTGATCTCAATATACAGCTCAAAACGAAGGTGAGTAAAAGGAGCTAATGGATCCACCTCAAAAAACACCGCGTCGTCATTAATATTACCGTTCTTCGGGTGCTTTTTCCATGATCAAAAGGATCGTCTGCTATTTTCTGCCATCGCTGCTGTGTTTTCTTTTTGCCTTCGCCCAAGACGAAGCCAATCCGCGTAGTATCCAGGTGATTATCCTGGCCGTTCCAAAATCGAATCGCGGATCGTTTACTCGCGATGTCACGTGGTATTACCCGCTGACGTAGGAGGCAGGTTACTCGGGTAAGATTTGGAACATAGCCTACATGTGTGGCAGTCTGAGTCGCTCAAGTTTGTACTACCCAGAACAAGTCCTAACAAGTAATTTTTCGCAGCGCCTCCTGGGCAACGCAGGATGCCAATTGCAGGAGCCGCGAACAGTAAGATCAGTGTTCGCACATACGCAGCTCGAGGGAGGAGGAGGAGGAAGGACCGAGTGCATCGGTGCATGCCCCGCTAGCCTCTGGAGCCGGGCCAGAAAGCAAGGGGGACGCAAGAGTGACGACGAGAACGGATCACGCCACCTCCCCCGACGATGTCCGAGCGAGCGATAACGGGCCGCCACACCGCGCGGCGACGATTGACGGTCCAAAACAAACGAAAGAGGGAACTCCTCCGCGTGACCGGCGTCTCACGGTCTGCTTGCCCGCATCGTGGGGAGCCGTGGCAATGTTCCTGCCGGCACCCCGGCGCCGACCACCTGCAGCAGCAAGGCGAAGGACACCCTTATCGCTGTCCCGCTTATCTGCGTCCCCGCGTATCGCGTTCATCTGTGCACCTAAAAAGGTTACGGGCATCGCTTTGGTGAGAACCGCGGCCATTAAACGGACCGCCGAGATGACAACTCCCCCTCCTCCCCCCTGATTTCCCCGTTGACGCACTTCTTGGGACATCCAGGGATATCGCACTCTGTGGCAGGGAGGGGGAGGGCATCTGAGGACGAGTGATGTTAGCGCGCCCCAGCTTGGAGTACGTGGAGCGAAAGCTCGCGCCGCAGAAGGTAAAGATGCTGGGTTCAATCAATACCGCTTAGAAGACAAGACCTCCTTAAACATAATCCACCATACACAGCGCCTCACAGCGATAGCGACGAGAAGGGGACGCGTCTGTCGTTTTGCCATGAGATCTCGCTGAGCTTCAGTAGGAAGATTTGCCGCGGGAAGGGGGCGAAGGGGGAAGGGAGGGGGGCGGGGGGGGGGGGGGGGGTTGAGTTGAGGATTTACTGATCTCTATGACTATTGCTGGATCGCGTTTGCCCGCTCCGCGAATGCGGCCACTGGCGGCCATGTTTTTGGTAGAGTTATATTACCTCTGACCAATGTAAGCTGCTGCAGCCGCTATTATCCATCCATGGCAGACAGCGTTGTGGTAGTTGTGGTAGCAGGCTGCCATCAAAATTGCGTGGGTGATATTTCGTGCTTGATTGAAATTGTTTGACGAAACCTATTTTTGAAACTCTGCGTGAACGGCAGCCCGATCTTTGAGGACCCAGTGAAAGTTTCACGAAATCGCAGCACCGGGGAAAAGCAGCACAGCACGCATCGAAAGTCGCATCGAAAGAAGCATCGAAAGGAGACGCCGATACGGAGTCTGCTTTCGATGCGAGCTGCGCTGCTTTCCCCCGGTGCTGCGCTTTTGTAGAACCTTCGCCGGGTCCTCAAAGATGAGGCTACCGTTCACGCCGGGTTTCAAGAATCTTCTTTGTCGAACAACTTCAATCAAGCACAAAATATCACCCATGGTACAGTGTACTAGATCCACGGCTATATTATGGCAACCTGCCGCCATTGCGGTGTCCGCCATATTACTATGATGGCTAGAGATAATATAACTCTACCAAAAAGATGGCCGACCGTGGCCGCATTTCCGTCCATAGGTGGAGCTGGTCAAACGCGATCCAGCAAATAGACATAGAGATCAGTGTGAGGATCTATCAACGATGACGCCATGCACAGGCCTTGTCTTCTAGGTCGTGCCCGTGTCTGTTTCGATCCATGTGGATGAGCATCGTACCTGCGTGCCGTCCTGTAATCACTTCTTTGTGGTGCACGTTAAATAACCGAGGCTAGCGGTCATCTACAGCGGAGATACTAGGCGCCCATTGGCGCTGACTAACTTCCCACCGTCAAAGAAATCACTGAATACATTTTTTTTTTTTTGGTTTCTTTTACTCTGTGGCACAAAACAGCTATACTCGTTTTTACGCCACGAGCCCGATGTACGATTACTGTAATGTCACGAGAGATGGCCCACCTAAAATAGGAAGCAAATGGGGTGAAAATAGGGCGAGTGGGTTAACTTCAAAAGCACAATTAAGAAAAGTTGGAAAAAAAAAGAAGCTATTTATAGATCATGTTTTCCTGCCAAACTTGTTATCGCGGCGAGGGACAATGAAGCAAAGATGGCTGTACTTCCCAGTCAGAAATGTTCTCTTATATCCCGCCATAGTATAACTAGTGACCTTTGCGCCGGGGTCATCATTGATCCGAATACTACGATTACTAGTAGTAGGCCATCTTTCCGTGTTTAAAAGAAAACAGAAAATCGAGCAAAAAAAAAGAGAGGGGGGGGGGGTATTTTTTGACGGTGGAGCATTTCATGGTATATGACGATATGCTGTTATTCTTGTTATTTAATCGAAACCTACGCGTTTGGAGGTGCAAGAACCAGTGTTAGTTCTCTATCAAATCTTGCGATAACTATAATCACTACCGGATTAAGGAGCACAGGACATGGCGAGTCCAGAGCATCTCATTATCTCTCTGCAGCCAATCAGACTGCGGCATTCGACCGCAAGCAAGCCGGACAACCAATCACGAAGCAGGAAGCACGAATTAACTTAATAGGCCACGCCTTGCGTTTCTCAAGCTGTCACGCGGTCCTGGCGTCATGTACCGTTGTGGTGGCACTGGTGTCGGCACGGCGCATGCGCAGAAGGTTTATCTCACGCTAACCTGGTTTCTGCGCACAGGCGGTGTGCGCACACCCGGTGTGGGCCAAGCACGGACTTGTTTGTAACCAGACGCACTGGCGAACAGACACACCAATCATCAATGTGTTTGTCGTTTTTTTTTTTTTATATTTTGGAGAGTAGAAGTTACGCTAGATAAAGCTATTCCTTGAAGGACCGCAGTGTCCGCTATTTAGCGCTAACAGAGAGCAATCGCGCCCACCCCCACGAGAACGGCCCTCTGTGTGTGTCGGACCACCTCCCTTCCAGGAGGATTTGCAAACAAACATGCCACGGGAGGTTGCCAACAGTTTCGTTCGCTCCAAAGCGAACTGCACGATGACAACAGGCACCATGCACTATGTCCATGACAACAAAAGGCGATGCGATCAGTGTGTTCGTATAACTGAAACTCAACACGCGCAACAGACAGTTTTCTTTAGCTTCTTTTTGACACGGGTTGTGTTTTATCGGGCCAAATACCACGAGAAAACCGTCACAACGAAACGTCAAGA